TGCATTTACTAATCAAACTAAACTATATTTAAATTATGGACTTCACTGAAAGTGGATGAATGAGACAACATAACCAGAAGAGAAAGGAACGGATGTGATCAATAGGAGAGGCCTGACAGTGACACATACTCCCAGAAATGGCCCCAGGCATTTAGCAGTAGGGGTCATTGACAGCCATAAGCTCCCCCAGTTTTTTCTGTTTACAGGACCCAGACTGCTACAATTGTTACACAGGTACACATCTATCCTGAGAGAAATGATTATTAATAACCAATGATTTGGGAAGATCCAGAGATACCCCCCCTTTTTTTTCTTTTTTTTGCTAAAGTCTTGATTTTAAAAGTTCAGTCTCTTGAAGGACATTATTGATAATGAGATTGGACTGGCTTTCTTGTTCAGAACCCACCCAAGTGGGGAAGCCATTTGCACTCCACTCAGGTTTGGGTAGAGATAAACAGAGTGCCTAAGACTGGGGCAATTTAAGAAGTAAATGATATAATCAAAGTCCAATTCCAACTGGACTCCTCTGTAATATTCATTCTCTCATTAATTGTTAATTAATCAGAGTTGATTATCACCCTTGGGAACACCCCTCTTCCAATGGGCATATAAGCTGTGAGTTTTAGTCTTTGGTCTAGAAGAAACAGCCAAATGACCATCCTTTTATTAAAATGCTGGCTTTATTAATAAAATAATTAAATTACCCATAAATTAGGTCTCTCGAATTTTTTAAATGTCACAATCCCCAATGTTAACCAACACAACAGTAAACTCTTTGAAGCAGGGTCCTAACAATCTTTGTTTACAGCATAGTCTCTTACACAAAAAAAGTCAACTATTATTAGTACGCTTAATAAATATTTATTATATCAAATAGCTAAAGAATGATGGATCATTGACAAGACAGAGGGCAAGAAAGATGAGAATGTTGGCAAATGTCCAGAATAAGCAGCTGGGATAAGCTGATCCTTTAGAGCTGTCCTTGCTTTCTTTAAGCATAGTTCTATTCCAACATACCTCTGATTTGTTTTCTGACTCAGTCTCAGTTCTCAAAAGCAAGCTACAATGAGAAGCATGTTTAAGGTATGTTTTAATTTTGAGATGTCCTAATACTGCCTAGTAGTAATATTGACACTATAAATGAAAAAGTATTGGTTGCTGTGGACTAGTCAATAGAACTCACTTTTCCAGCCCACAAATCAGATTCAGTTTTCTCTCTCCAAATCACACAACAGGACCAGTTAACCAGGGCTAAATTGAGCAAGGAATATTCTTTAAAAAGTGCATTGAGATTATTCCCAAGTGGAGACACTTCTCAGCAAAGGCTATGTCTACTTACAGAAAACAACAACAACAACAAAAACCCCACAAACAAAATCTGAAGAACTGAACAATTACTGAGTGAATTTCACCAGTACAAACCCAACTTCCCTTAAAAATTTAACAACCTTTCATCACCCTCCTCATTTACTTTCCCTCTCCTTTTCCTTCAGCAAAACCCAAGCTCTTAAAGGAGAGGAACTATTTCCAGTTTTGTCTTTTGTATTTTTGTGTCTCCAGCATTCAGCACATGAGGAAGCATTTAATAAATGCTTATTAAAAATGAATTACAGGGTAGCTAGGTGGCACAGTGGATACAGCACCAGCCCTGAAGTCAGGAGGACCTGCGTTCAAATGCAGCCTCAAATACTTGACACTAGGTGTGTGACCCTGGGCAAGTCATTTAACCCCAATTGCCTTATAAAAAAAATTAATCATATATTTTTCCTACATTATCAGGTTATTTGCCTCACCTCTACATTTCATTTCATAAGCCCTTTCCTTAGTAAAGTTCTACCCAAAACAATCTACTTTTAAAATGCAGCTGTCTAAAATAATTTTAGACCATAGGTAAAAACAGAATTAAAAAAAAAACATAATAGCTACTTGATGCTACTGTTGCTGCTGCTGCTACTAATGATAGTAATGGTAATAATAATAGTAATACTAATAATATACCACTTCAAAAGAGAGAATATAAAGAAAAGTGCTTACCAACCTTGTGACAGAATCCTATTAGGTACCATATTATTATAACTATGTTGCTCTAATACACATGTAATATATAGAAAACGTACCACAGAATCCAGTCAAAGCATCTTGACAACTGCAATACACAGCTTAGACAAGTCAGAAAAGAATATTTAAAAATTTCTGAATTATTTCTGCCTCTCATAATTCTATGATTATTGATTTATGAGTCAATTTGCAATTTTACTTCAATGCTTTTTCTACCAATTGTTAATAATACAATAGACTTGTGATAAATGTGATAACAATGTAATTCATGTTACACTTTTAAAAATATTGTGAGAAACAGATTATTGACAGAATATACTTTTAATCTGATCATTTATCTTTTCTACAAAACTGTTTATTTCCAGCAACATATTTAGTTTAATGGAAAGTGAATGGTTACAAAAGCAGCCTTTAGAGACTCCATCTTTGACTACATCTTTGACTCCTGCTTGAAACAGAAATCTCTTACCAGCTTTTCTATTAATCTACCACCCTAACCCTGACTCCCCAAATGGCACTGTCATCATTGGAAAGAGATTTAATGCTTTGAGGCAAGTTTTTAAAAGGTTTCTTATTCCCTCCCCCAGATACTTTGCTTCTTGGCCATTGATTTATTAATGAATAGAATGGGTAAATCATTGACAAATCCCACCAACTTTATTAAATATTTAAAAATATCAAAGCTGCACATGGGTCTCGGGGCAGCCCCAATAATTAAAAATCTCTATAGAAGAATCCACTTGCTCACAATGAGTCTACTGATTCTGGAGAAGAAATAGCTAAGCCAGAAACAAAAAGATGTCAAAGGATATAGAGCAGAAAAGGACCTTAACCATCATTTCACCTAATCCCTCATTTTATAGATGGAGACTCTGAGCTCCAGACACTTTAAGTGACTTTACTAAACTCACATTTCTAGTAAGTCACAAAACCCAGGTCTTTTAATGCCAAACCACTGTGCTCTTTACTATACCACATGGATCTCTAATCTAATATAAATACTTCATTTCTAGCTTTATAGAAAACCAAAATTCTTTGACTTCCTTTTTTTCCCCAATGATATTTAAGGAATACAACAAATATGATGAACAAGTATTAAAAAGTAGCCCCCTAATCCCCTATCAATCACTGTACTTTGATAAAAAAAAATGATATACACAATTGGATATGAATTTTGCTTGAGGCCCTCTTGGTTTCCAGCAATAATATAATTAGGTTCCAAGTGAATTCCAATGAATGGGCAGTTGAGGAATTAATCTGTGACTATGTATATATGTGTGAGTGGATGTATACACATGTACAGGAGGCAGCTGAGATGAAAAAAACACTGGACTTGTAATCAGAGTACCTGAGCTCCCATCGCCGCTTTATTTGCTAGCTCCATGACCTTGGATTGGGTACTCAGTTTCCTCATCTGCAAGACGAGCAGATTGGATTCTCTGATCCTGACATGTCTTATCAGGATCCTATCATCCTGCATTTGGCCAATCAATTGAGACTCTTCCACATTTATATAATAGGAACAAATAATACTTGTCCAATACCCTTAAATTTTAATTGAGTATTATGGTAAAGTGATTTATAAACTAAGAAGTACTGTATAAGTATTAAGGGCAGCTAGGTGGCATAGTGAAAAGAGTGCTAGGCTTGGAATCAGAAAGACCCGATTTCAAATCTGCCTTCAGACATTTAGTAGCTGTGTGACTCTGGGCAAGTCACCTAACCCTATTTGCCTCAGTTTCTCCTTATGTAAAATGAGCTGGAGAAAGAAATGGCAAACTGCTTTCTTTTACCAAGAAAGCCCCAAATGGGGTCACAAAGAGTTGGATATGACTAAAATGACTAAACAAACAACAAATATTACCTACAATTGTTATTATATGAATACAATTCATGAATACCTGTGGCTATAGACAGTTATGCACAAAGGATCTGTCATTTTGTCAGCACTGGTAACTCCAGTATAGGGACTCCTTCCAACACTAGCAAGTCCTGCCACATTGCCTAAGGCACAGTGAGGTCTGGTGACTCACCACACATCCTACATATAGCTAATGGCAGAGGCAGCATTTAAACCGAGTTCTCCTTGACTTTAAGCCCACAATGTATAGTCAAGCCCACGTACTGTCAGGAAAAAAAAAAGGGCAGTTCTTTTAGTGGTACAAATGAACCAATGCGAACTTTCACACAGATGTCCATTTTAATACAATAGTCTGGCACTTAATATATCCACACAATCCTGGGATGTCCACATTTATGCACATACTTTTGTTTATGTGCTTATGTTGCATATTTGTACATTATCTTATTTGCATATATTGTCATATTGGTTATGACAACATATGCAAACAAACCCCATAACAATTTGAAAATGTTGCAAACCAAATATGCAATCTGTCAAGCGTAATCAGCCATGCTACTCAACAACTGGACGATATAATTCACTCCAAAATATATACGTGAGTTAGTTTCTATCATCTTAAGTTTCAGCACAGATTTCTAGAAATTCATGCCAACAGTATTGCATGTTCAAAAAACAGTTTTGTAGATCTGACTTATGCTTAAGTGCAAGAAAAATTTCATCACTTGGCACAGACCAGGATCCAATTTTCCTCCTGTTTATTAAATAGAACTGTGATTCACAACAACAAGAGATCATAATCCCCTAATCAAGACCTTGCCCAGATCTTACTAAAATGGAAGGAAACATATCAGAAAATAAACTTATTTTGCACTAAATTTAATACCATTTATGTTGCATTCCATGGACACTGTAAAAGGCATAAACCATTCCCTTGTTTGTAAAATGTATGTGTGCAGGGGAATAGAGGAGAGATTGGCACTCAGTGTCAAAAACTAAAGCAGCAAGCATTAAAGAAAACCCAGCTTCTTATATGAACATTTGAGAGCATTCAAAGCCATCTAGCCAGAGAAAGCATTACCTTGGTCTGATTTTTCATAAGCTGAATTAGGTTTCTTGTCAGGCGTCACCATCTCTTTTGACTCTGTGGGTAAAGAAGGTGACAAATTAATAATAATTTAAAAAATCCTTTTTCTTTACACTCTAAATGCTTTTTAAAGAAGATTCGTTAGTCCAAAAGGTCAGAGCAAAAAACCATTGACCAAAAAAAAAAAATCCAGATTCATTCAGCAGCTGCTCGGGAATCACTTGAGGTTAAATGTCAGCTCACTTCCCAGAAGGCTTCTGCTCCCCTGCAGCTAAGAGAGAAGCCATTGCAGCATGGGATCAACCTTGTTGTCTTGGATGCATTCCTTTCTCAAACGGGAGTCAAAAACTAGTAACTTATCAAGTGCTAGCTGCCAGAATTTCAAAAGAGAAGAATTAAGCCTTGTTGGGACTGAACATTTACTTGGATTAGAAGAGGCTAAACTGAAGCTAAATTTGCAGTCATCCAAACACATTTACCCCGAATGAGCATGTATATTAAAATATTCATCCAAGTTTGGGGGGCGGGTGTGCTATTTTATCTGTCAAAAACAAAAGAAAAAAAGGCTGAATAGGACACAGTGAGACCACTGCAAATAAATAAATTCAGAGGTTTACTCTCCTTGGGACATGCCATTTTGAACACTTTTGCCTGCTTTCAAGAAAAAGAAACAGTTTGAAGGAAGTCAAAATTATGAAAACATATCTGAGAGTAGAAGAGCTGATTCTCTTCTTCAACAAATCACAATCCTAAGGAAAAAGTCCACAGCAGCTTTTAATATATATTTCTTTATATAAAGGTTCCAATGATAACACCAATCAAGTGTCAATCAACAAGAATTCATTAAGACTTTCTTTGTGTCAAGCACTGTGCTTGACACTGGGCATACAAAAAAAGAAAAAAAAGTAAAACCAATCCCTGCCCTCAAGGAGCTTACATTCTGAAAGGGAAGAGAACATATACATTAATAGATTAATAAGATACTTGCACAGTAAATGAAAGATAACTTTAGAGCAGTGATTCTCAAATTTTTTGGTCTCATGACCCCTTTACTCTCTGAAAAAATTATTGAAGACCCCAAAGAACTCATTTATATGGGTTATGCTTTCAATGTTTACTATATTCAAAATGATTTTAAAAATAAATGCCATTTATTTTAAAATATAAATAACAGACTCGTTACATGTTAACACAAATGACACATTTTAATGAAAAATAATTCTATTTTGAAAAAAAAGTAGTGAGAAGTGTTATTGTTTTACATATTTTTGCAAGTCTTTTTAATGTCTAGTTTCGTAGAAGACATGTTTTGATTGAAGAATATTAAGAAAATCCTGCCTCACGCAGATATAGAGTTGGAAAAGGGAAGAGTATTTTAATAGGGAAGTAATGTCTTATTATTATTAAGAAAATAGTTTGGACCTAGTGGACCTCCTCAAAAGTACCATACTTTGAGAACCACTGCCTTATAGTAAAGGTACAAGCAACTGAGTTCTGAAGGAAGTCAAGGATTCAAAGAGGCGGGAGTGAAGAGGAAGAAGAGATCATTGGAGGACTGAGGGAGCACCACGCTCTTTTAGGAAATGCCCCAAGTTTCTTGTGACCAGGGACTCTAGGTGTAGAATTGATCATACATCAGGCTTCAAAGAGAACAGCGAACAAAGCAACATCTGCTGAGTGCCCAGAACAGGCATAGCTGTGGGCTAAGCGTATGCCAGCTCTTAACACAGAGCAAGGTGATGACAAGCTCTGACTGGAGGTCTCAGACTTGCCCAGCGGCATGGCATTAGCACCAAGAGAAGAGGCTGAGAGGTTCGTTCTCGTTCCGGTTCTATTTTGACTCCAGTGACTTGAAGCAAATAAATTAGCCTGTGATTCAGTTTACCCATTTGTAGAATAGGGATAGTAACAACTGCTCTACCTATCTCACAAGACTATTGTGAAGACCTATTATCTAAAAAAAGAGATTTTGTCTTTGCATGGCAATATTATATTATGCTAATAATACATTATATGTAGCATAATACTGTTAAATTAAGAGAGGATTTTTAAGGGCTAGTCCTTTCTAGAGGACTTACTGTCTTCTTCTTCAATCAACAATCTGATTGGTTGCGGTAAGAGGGTGTAGAGTAATGAAAACAGCATTAAAGTCGGGAGTCATAAGATCCAAGCTTAAACTCTGGCCCTGCCATGAAAGCTGAAATGAAAGCAGGATTAGATGATATCTGAGATCCTTTCCAAATCTGATATTCTCAGGCTAGGGACACAAGGAAGATGCCTTTGCACACAAAAGAATATCTGAAAGGGTACAGACCAGTGAGATATTTTGAAGCCTTACCTGCTATTTTCTCAGGATTGTTGTTGGCCACCATGCAGCACCTCCCAAGATTGCTAAAGGATTGCCCATTAGGTGCTGGCACCCCCTCTGTACTCAATCCAGGATTTAATAGTTCACATTGACATAATATTTTAAGGTGCACAAAGCACTTTGCTCAGAACCTTGTGAAGTAGTGTAAATATCCCTGTGGAAACTCAGGCCAAAGAAGTTAAGTGACGTGCCCAATGTCACAGACATAGAAAGCATGACCTTAGACCTGTCACTTTAACTTCTCTGGGCCCTAGAAGGCACAGGCTTAGAAGGACCTTTTTTCACTATAAAAAGAAGCAAACATCAAAAACCAAAAGCTAGTATAATGTGCAATGGGAAAACACTAAAAGTTTTCCCAGTACATACAAGAATAAAGCAAGCATATACCCTTTCCCAACTGTTATTTGACATAGTTTCTAGAAATGCTAGTAATAGCAATACAATAAGGAAAAGAAATTAAAAGCAAAATTATATGCTGAGAGATTTCCTTTTTTGATCCAGGGGTTGCCAATAACACCTTTGTAGATAGATCAAGAAAGTATTTTTAAAATTCTGCCTATTAGCATACTTAATTAACATAATTGATAATGATACAGTGCTTTAAAATTTGCAAATATTTAACATATATTTCTTCATTTTAGCTCCGTGGCAAGAAAGCAAAATAGATCATTCAAAGCTGTTGTTGTTTACCTGTAATTTCATTAGTCTAAGGAATTGAAGAGAAAACACTCTCTATTGATACATAGGCATCTTCTCTGTAAGTTAAAATTTTAGAAATATATCATTGGCCTTACTTTTAAGAAGAAAAGCTGTGGAATCTCAGGCCAAAGAGGTTAAGTGACTTGCCCATTGTCACAGAGTTATAGAAAACGTGACCTTAGACCTGTCACTTTAACTTCTCTGGGCCATACAAGACACAGGCACAAAAGGATCTTTTTTAAATATAACAAAAATGTGTCTAAATCAAAAAGTTAGTATTAAATGCAACAAGAAACAGTAGAGGTTTTCTAAATGCAGAACAATGTGATCACAAGTGGCCCTTGAACATGTTCCTTCCTTACTCCAACTCCAGCATTCTATTCATTCTGTCACACAACCTCCTAATTAAAAACAACACTAATTAATTAACTATTGGTGCATCTAAGACTGAGTTCCCTCCTCCATGAGCCTGAGCAATCACAGGCATTGATTTCCCAAACTAGGATGCTGAAGCTGATTATATGCAAAATCAAACCAGTTAAGCATAATACAAGAAAATGGAACTTAGTTTCAAGAGAATCCTGACCAGTCCTTTGAAATAACGTCACAAATTATTTACCTAAATGATTAAATTACCATAACTTGACTGGACTCAACTTATGACTAGAGCTTCCAAAGGTTGGAAAAGGAAACAATGCTGAGTGTACTTGGGTATCTGATTTGGGGTAGTCCTTACTTTTCTAAGTGATAGAATAGAGAGCAGGACAGTGTTCTAATTCAAGATGCATGCACATAACTAGGCTACAGCTACCCACCAAAATGTGGCCTTATCAAATTCAATTCAACAAGCATTTAGTCAGTGCCTACTATATACAAGGCAATATGCTAGATGCCGGAAGTAAACACACTAACAAATATTTTTGCACCTCGAGGAAGAACTCTCCAAAGGAAGTATTCCACCTCCCACCTCACCTCCTCTGTAGAAGTGCTTCTCCGTGCCTGGAATACAGGGCTTCATTTCTCTCAATAGAGAACCTCTATATTCCTTCAAAGCATAGCCCAGGTGCCACTTCCTACAAGAGGCCCTTCTGGTTTGGTTTTTTTTTTGGTTGGGTAATGGGGGTTAAGTGACTTGTCCAGGGTCACACAGCTAGTAAGTGTCAAGTGTCTGAGGCAGCATTTGAACTCAGGTCCTCCTGAATCCAGGGCTGGTGCTCTATCCACTGCACCATCTAGCTGCCCCCAAGAGGCCTTTCTGGATCCCCTCATCCCCTCAATAATTCTCATATTCTATTTCTCTCTCTCTCTCTCTCTCTGAAGTGGGTGAAAACTGATATAAATGATCACCTTAATCCATGAACCTTGCAAATATGATTAAGACCTCTTAAAACTCAAAGTGATAAATGGAAGAGAAAATGGAAAAAGGAGAAAACTACCTGCAATAAGATTAATCTCAGAGAAAAATTGGTACAATATAAAAAACATCAGAGTAGAGAATCAATAATTCTCAGGAGACAAATCCAAAAAAAAACAAATAATGAAACTCATGGACTTCGATATCTATAAGCAAATACACAGAATATGAGTAATGAACACAATGATGAGATTCCTTAGGATAGAGGAGTAATGGACCTGAGCAATTATTCAGCCCACTGTCCTCAGTTCACAGGTAAGGAAGCTGAAGTCTGTGGAGATGAAGTAATTTTTATAGAACCACAGAATTTGAGAGTTCAAAGGGATATTAGCAACCATCTCGCTTAACCAGCATATTAAAGGAAATGTATACTCTACCCCACCCAACAGGTAGTCATTCAGTCTCTACATAAGGCTCTCTAAGGAAGGGGAACTACTTTTTGAGGTAGCTCAATTAATAAGCCACACAGTTAAGGAATCCAGCTCTCAGATTCCAGAGCTAACATACCACACTGCCTTTCCAATACACTGAAGTAAATTTTACCTTATACTTATCTTGAAAAGGAACTCAAATTTT